CAAGCCCAAGCGTCGACATTTAATTTCTTCTTTTTTTCGGGAATACTCTTCTATCTGAGAGAGTTGCCTGATGCCAACAACAGTTCTGTTGGCTCTCCAGCTATCAACATGCTATACATCGAATAGCTATATCATATAAATATCAAAGTCAAGTGAGAGTTCCTTTTCAAGAGCTCTATAGTTGTAGCTCTACATAGTTGATGAACTCATTGTATTATATAGATGGCATATAAATCATATGATATAGCATATATCAGTATATCATCTTATTCTATTTCTTAGCACATTAGAATGAATCAGCCTCTACCCGATGTAATCCTGTGACATCCTCTCGATAGTGAAGTCCCCTACAGATATTCTCTTTCATTAGAAACTCCACAGCTCGTAGCTCAAGTCTTTATACATATGTACTAGATCTACATCTACCCGATGTAATCCTATCCCATCCTCTCGATAGTGAAGTCCCCTACAGATAGTTCACTAGCTAGTCTAGCTACATCTTAGTCAAACTCGAAATCCAGCCGGCTTTTACCTTCTCAAACTCACTGTTCAAACTCCCCTTAGAGCATCTGCTCGTCGGCGGGCCATAGCTGCTAGTTCTTACTTTATTCCTCGTCCATATATATAAATTTTTTTTTGTCACCATTTTTGGCGCTCTGACATTTTCTGGACCCAGCCCATGCCCATGCCCATGCCCATGCCCAGGACCCAACAGATCCAGACCGTGGCCTAATATGCTGGCCGTATAGTTGGAAGTATTTCGCTCACTTTTTTTTCTGGTTTCCTTTTCTCTTTTTGTTTTTTCCCGTTTTGGTGCTGCACTTGTTGGCTACTCTTTTATGCACATCGATTTTCGCTCAGTGCTTTTTATTTGCCAGACAAAATGGACAACGGACGGTGGACTGGCGGCACGGCACGACTGTTTGTTTGTGTCCACGGTTTGTTTATGTGCCTTAACTGGACACGAGCAAGTTTTTAAAGCGACGTTTAACAAAGCACCCAAACTTGACTAAAACTGACCGCCCAAGTGGCCCGAGCGGCGAATGTTCAGCTCCAAGTGCCGCTTGGCTGCATTTCAGTTCATTTGTCGAGATCCTCCACTTCTGATTAAATCGCAAATTACTTGTGCGGGCCTTAGCTGACATTTGAGCAACAAGTGTTGTTTAATATTCTTCTTTTTATTTTGAAATCTTAATATAGATCGGACCTAGTTCGGTGCTTAAATTGAGAAAGATTGAGTTGTACTTCAGAGCGGCGCTCAAGTATTGCCCATTAATTCAGTTTATTTTCAGGCAGCATTCATTTAGTGTTCGAAAACACACTTATATCTTCATAACAGCATTTAACAACACTAGTATTTAGTGCATTCAGCTAATGTAAATGACTTAAACTAGTGTTTGCCAACATTTATATCTTTAGATCAGCGTTTACCAACACTCCTGCACATTCCAGGCAGATTTATTAGTGGCTAACATATAATTTGCCTAATGAATTTCGCGTTGATCAACACTGCAGCTTACATTCAATTGTTAAACTCTAGTTCACTTTATGATTCAATCACAAGCCACACAAGATTTTCCCATCTATGAGTAAGTGATTCAATGCTGTTGACCAACACTTGCTGTTAGCATACACCAACACTGGTCATTGATTATCAAATGATGTGGCCAATGCTATTAAACTAATGATTAGCAGCTATTCAATCTTATTGCAAAAAAATATGCATATTTATATAAACACATATGTATATATATATATGTATGCATACATAAACATAAATATATGCACATAAATAGAAAACAGCAAAATTGAACACTAATTTAAAGTTTTTCTTCTGCTTTGCAAATTTTTGTTTTGCTCGAAACTTTTCAGTAATAAATATTTTGCTGCATGCGCTACACAGCTTCCCCGTATATGTATGTGTGTGTGTATGTAAATGTATGTATATGTAAATATACATACATATATGCATTACTCAACACTGGCTGCTTTGGCTGCCCTCACCAGGGCTCAATTAATAAAACTATTTTACTTGACTAACTCAGTTTGTGTCAAACTCTGCATATGGCAGTTGTCCGCCTCTACCCTTCCCACCCGTCCAGCACCGTCCCATTAGGTTGGCTTAGTTTGATTGTCGGCAGCTACTGCATTTGCGTTCATGCCTGCCACCAAATCGTGCAACAAAGTGAAATGCACTTAGGCCGCCCAAGTGCGTATGTGTGTGAGTGTGCATGTGTGTGAGTGTGCATGTGTGTGTGTGTGTATGCATCGCATTCTGCAATATTGCATATTGTAGAGGCGCACTTAAATTCAATTAAACTACAAAGGCAGTTAGGCAAAAGCCAAGGACCGCACGAGTTCGACCAACCCAAAGCGATGACAGCCACGACGCCGATGACGATGCCGATGACGATGACGATGACGATGACGACGACGATGATGGTGAGCATAAGCTGAGTGCTCTTTATGGCCGGTCGCAGCCTGGCATTCGCTCCTTCATTCATGCACCAATTCGCTCAGGCATTCAATCAATCGCATGGCTTTGCGGCACTCGATGGTCAGCTGGAAGAGGTTTGTCTAATGAAGCCTTACTTAATGGTATACTTGATAGGTGGACCGGTGAAAGTGCTGGCCGTAATTGCACTTAATTGGCATGACGTTTGTCCGCTATCAAACTCAATTGCAATCGAGAATACAATTATTAACAGAATAAATCCGGGTTGCTCTCATTTTGATGAGCTTTGCAACACTAATCAAGGATTTTTCTACGAATTCTTTGAGTTTCATTCTGACTTTGAATCTATGTTTACTTTCTGATTTCAAGCTAGGGCATGCGAGAGTCGGTGCCGCGTACGAGAACAAAAAACCTCTGCGAATCGGTTTCTGTTTTTCTAATGTCGCCTGCGTGTTGACTGTACAAACTGAAGGGATATGCGAGCTGTGCATGTATGCATGCATGTGGGTCTGCTGGGCGTGACTGGTGGTGTGTGGGCGTTGGGGCGTTGGGGCGTGTCGCCCATGTAGCTGCTTTCTAATTTCATTTACACGCTTTTCAACACTGCTCAACATCAATCGAGCTGCATTCAAATGTTTTTCTAGCTGCACGCCCAATCGACTGACTGACCCGCTGGGGTCATGCGGGCAGGTAAATATAGAATGCCATAAACACACACACACATGCACGTCTATTATATGCATTCATCTGTGTGTGTGTGTGTGTATTTGTAACTGTATTTTGTTAGGTGTTTTACCCTTTCAGCACTGCAGTAAACCAGAAATGCGTCGCAGGATCTTTGTGTGTGGAGCGCAACGCTCGGCTGGCTACATCTGGAGATGATGTTGATGATGGAGCCCGATGGAACTGTTGCTGCTGCTGCTGCTGGTGCTGCTGCTGCTGGTGCTGTTACTATGTACAACTAATTCCATTAAAGCAAGCTCTAAGTTGATTTTCAATTGACTCCTCATTTGTGTGGGCAAGGAGAATGCGCCGGCTGAGGCGGAGTCTGCGCTGTCAGCAATCAACATGTTCAATTGAGCATATCCTGCCAGGGCAGGACACAGCGACGCAATGTGATTACCCAACGCTATTTTGTACACACTCACACACACACACGCGCGCGAGCATCGAGCATCAGCACCAGGACACACAAGGACACATCCCTGCTGTCCTGGCGTCCGTCCAGCGGACGAAACTCTGGTTGCCTTTTACATTTCATTGGATTTTATGCGTTTTACTTTATGCTGATGTTTTTATTATTAAATTTCCTTGAATTTTCATTTACATTTTTTCTCTTCTCTTTTTATTTTTATTTTTTTTTTTTTTTTTTGCGTGTTTCGCCTCAGTTCTGCTTAAGCTTGCAACACTGACCCGCCCAGGCCGCCGCCCACTCTTTTATCCTGTCGCTGATGACTCCTCTTCATTTTCACACTTTTCATTCAATTTATCGCATTTCGCAAATTGAGTGTCGCTTTCCTTAGATCTGCTGTATTCCACTGCTCTCATACTCCCTCTCCCTCCCTCTAGTCTAGGCAGTGTCTTGACACCCAATTGTGCTCGACTCGCAGCCCACTTTATAATTAGCTATTTTCAGATCTGCGCTTTCGATTCTCTCATTCCTTAATGCAATAACTCAATGCGAACATAAAGCATTTGAATGCCTTAGACCTGGAGCAGCCTCTGCAGTGATTGTCCTCGGCTTGAGCTAGAGGGTCTCAGGCACTTCCGACTCACTCGGAAATCGCACCGAGCTTAATAAATATTTTCCCAACACCCTTATTTTTTGAGTAACTATTTTACGAGATATATATCTCTTGTCCTAATTAGGTATACGCCCATGCCAAAATGCCTCACACTCGCATCTCAGAGTTGCCAACGCTGCAGTTCCCTCAACGCGTGTCCCCACTGTGTGTTTATATATACATGTGTATAGATGTGTGTGTGTGCGTGTGCGTGTGTGTGTGTGTTTGGTAGCTCGCTTTCAACACCTTCAGCCAACTGACTCCAATCGCATGTTCCAGCTCCCCTGCCAGCCACTCCTCCTGCCCACCCGCCTACCCTTTCTAACCGCCGTTCAACCCATTCGCGTTCCAATTCATTTTTCAAGCATGCCCCCCGCATCCTGCTCTGCTCCCACGCCAGCCTCGAGTCGTTGGCAGCGCCTTATGCACGCCTCATTTTTGGCAGCTCATGAATATTCATGGACATGAACGCGCAAAGGCTCGACTAGCTATCTACTGGCGTCAGCAGCTGGACTGTACTGGGAGCAAAGCGGGTGCCAGGGGCTGAGCAGAGGAGACGAAGCGGGTGGGCGGGTGAGCGGGTGAGCGGGTGGAGGTGGCAGTGGGCGTCCTGGCATATTATGCAAGTCATATTTTTTGTCCGCTTGCCGCATTTACACAAATTGTTCACGCCCAACACTTGACCTCACACCCAAGGCCCCTCCGTACCCACAGCACCGTCCCGCACGGGCCCACACTATATACGCTGGAGTAAATTTGCAGTCTGTTTATTATGGGGAAATCTGTCTAAAGTTCGCTACGGTTCGGGTTAACAGTAGCGGCATCACTGCCTGTTCCGCTGCTCACCGTTGTCTCCGGCTCCTGCTGGTCCTGTGCCTGGTTCTGGGTCTGGGCCTGGTTCTGGTTCAGCTCAGATGCCTCTTCGTGCTGCTCCGGCACGGACTGCAGCGAGAGTGGCTCCAACGCTTGCTCCAACTCCTGAGTCGACACCTGAGCCGACGCCTCATTCGACAGCTGAGCAGACGCCTGACTCGACACCTGATCCGACACTTGATCCGACTTGTCCGGCTCCTGTGCGTTCGACTGCATTAGCTCCTGCTCGGCCTTGGAGCTGGCCTTGGGCTTGGGCATGGCGAAGCGCTTCGTCCAGTAGCGCGCCACCTTATCGTGCTCCCTGCGATTGCATTTGTATTGGTCGGCAATGCCCATGACTAGCGGATCATTCGGATTGCACTCGCCAATCAGCACCCAAATGGACAGCAGCACCTTGGCAATATTCATCACCGGCGACCAGCGCTCGTTGAGCACATCCAGACAGATGACGCCGCGACTGTCCACGTTGCAGTGATAGATGCGCGTTATGAAACGGATCTGCGGCGGACGGAAGGGATACGCGCCCGGAAAGCGTATGTCTAGCTTGAAGATGCCGCCCTCGTACGCCGTGCCGCTGGGCCCCATGATGATCGCCTTCCAGTGGAACAGATCCTCCTTGTACATCTCGGCGCTGCAATTGGGCGGCGGATTCTGCATGATCTCGTTCAGCTCCCGCTTGATGCGCATCACCGGACCGTTCAGCTGKGTCATGGGCGTGGCCGAGCCAACTCGGCTGTGGCTGTGGCTGTGGCTGCGGCTGTGGCTAGCGTCGTTGATGTTCTCGTTGTAGTTGTCGTTGTCGTTGCTGCTACCGCTGCTGCTGCTGGCAGCTCCTGCCTGAAGCAGCTGCTCGCTGTGGCGGCTGCTGCTGCTGCCGGCGCTGCTGCTGCCGGCGCTGCTGCTGTGGTGGCTGCAGCGGTGCTGGCGTCCCTGGCTGGTGCTGGGCGCGTTCTCATCGCGAGTCGGCTCCTCGCCAGCAGGGAGCGCCTTCGCTGCCATCGGGGACGACGACTCCTGCACGCTCTTCGTTTCGGACGTGCTGCCTTGGGCTTTACAGGACAGGTTCGACATGCTATCGGGCTATGCGGCTTCTCTTCTTCTATTTGTCACTCTCTCTGTCTCTCGCTCTCTCGCTCACTCGCTCTCGCTTTTTGGTTCAAATTAAACGGTTGTGCAATTTGGAAAATTTTTTATTGGAAAAATTGTTATTGGAAATTTTCTATTGTTCTCATGCGTTGCTCACATGATTTTTGAACTTACATTTCTGGAGTTTCAATCTGAAACTAAATCCCTCACAGCACAACCTGCCTGCTTGACAGCCCGACGATAGATTTGTAATGTGAATGTATCGTTGTGCCAAATGGGACAATCGTTAATCGTTAATCGAAAATGAATTCCTCTGTGACTTTAATCTTTTATTATTTTAATCTTTAATATTTAATTAAAAAATCAAATTGTTATATTCATAACACTCTTTCCACTTCTTATAGATATATCATTGATATATGACGGCTATTTATCGATATATGCGTTTGATAGTCTAGTGATGATGCGATATATGGAATATTTATATAACTATCGTATGTACCACCGCATTCTAATGCCAAATGCGTATCATAAGGCTATCACCGATGCGATATACATATTCATATGAATAGATCTTTATCCCATGAATGTAATATCTTGTCAAAGGTTAAGTATATGTATATAGTTGCATAGACAAGTTCAATATTCTTCGTCGTCAAGCTATCGTTTCTCTGCTTGCTCCTAGAGATGAGCTAATGCGATGTATCGCCAAGGTAAACCATTTCTATCCGATGTCTATCGATGCAAGCTTTGCTCTAGCTTTCATTTCAGATCAGCTGACAAGCAACAAAGTTGCGATATGCCCATATTTATATTGAATGCACTTTAAGTTTATTCCTTGCACTTAATTTCTTTCGGGATAGTCTTCTTAGGGGGGGCGCCGTCGCTGCCGAAGGCAATATTCAGTTGACACGACCATCAAACGGAGTGGAAGTCCGGGACTGGGAGGGATTCGACCGCCCATTCGCTGTATCGCCATTTTCGCTTGCTTGAACAAGTCAAACGTTAATGAACTTAAAGAAATTAATTAAAGTGCCATCCAGCCAGCCAAGTCAGCCACATGTGTCTCATCTGGTGCTGGGGCTGGCCTTAGGGTTGGGGCTGGGACTGGGGCTAGGGCTGTGCTGTGCTGTGTGTTTGGCTTAACGCCTGCGACGCCTTTATTGAAAACGACATCCGGTCGGGCCATCAAGCGGCTTCATTGGCCGCTGGACGCAAAGTAAATGCAATAAAAGCAACACCGAAAGGGATTGGGCAGCCAAGGTGTATACATGTGGGCGTGGCAGTAGCACATTCACTAGCCACCCATCGAGACGCAGGCAATATGGCAAAAGTGTTCAGAAAATCCAACAGCTAGCAGATGCTCTCTCTCGCTCCCTCTCCCTCTCCCTCTAACATTCTCTTTCATTGTTTTTTGGCTCCCTAGGTTTATTTTTTATTTGCAGTACTGCATTAACAATTAACAATTTGAACGATTTTGAACGGATTGAACAATTTTTAACGGATTCAACGATTTACAAGTAAGCTCTGCACGGAGCGCAACGGCGGCGGCGACGCCGAGCCCTCTGATTGGCCTCTATTGCCGACCAGTCGGGCAAGTGTGGCACATTGGTGATACGCCTCCAGATGATGCCCACAGCGACAAACAGCTCGAGAACTATGAAGACGGACCAGATATTGTAGATGACGCGCATCCAGAGGCCGTGATCGTCGTAAAGATACCAGCTGACGCACATCATCGGCAAACAGGCGGCCAGGGCCACGAAGAGCACCAGCTTGGAGTGCGGCCCTTTGGGGCTCAGGTTGAGGATGTAGCCCATATAGATGCGCATGGACTCGATAGTCACGGTCAGCACATAGAGCAGCAGCATGTACAGATTCAAGCGATGCCATTCCTGCGGGAAATGAAACCCAATGAACGAATCCGTATAGCGGCGATACTGACTATGATAATGGCAACGATATGGGTAATACTTACATAAATAAACAAGCACAGCAAGTAACCGAAGGCCCAAGTGATGGCCACATACAGATTGCCGTCCAACAGCATTTGCATGATGAGGCTGGAGCACACCGGGCTCACGATGTGAGGCATTTTCGATTTTCGAATGAGCGGAACAAATTTTGATTTTAATTTTAATTTCCAGTAAAAAAATATAAATAATATGCCTCAATGCCTGCCAGCATCAGACTGAAATTTTCAGGCGAGCTCCGTAGGCAGCAGCTTATCAGCTCGACGCACAGCACTCTATGTTTTCAGCCAGTTATACAACACTGAAACAGAGTGTAGGGCATGAGAAACAGTTTGAGCTACAGTCAGAACTATACCTGAATATATACATATGTATATGGAATACTTTAAAGATGGTGGAAGAAGGAAGGGAGGAAGACCGAAGAATATCAATAGATGGAACAACCTGGATAGAATATGGAAAACATAAATATATTTACAATATATATGTATATAGTATGTATGAAGTGAGGAAGAACGAAGAGTCTCAATAGATAAAGCAATCTGAATATAAATATGGAATACCTGAAAACATATGGATAACATTAGAAAGGGAGAATGAAGGGAGGAACCAGGAAGAATCTCAATAGGTGGAACAACCTGAACAACCTTCCTGCCTTACAGAATGAGTATGAGGGAAAGAAGGAAAGGAGGCAGCAGAAAAAATCCCAATCATTCGCCCGAAATATGTAGGTGTGAACGCTCTATCATAGCCGATGGACCACACTTTCTTATGTGTATCTCGGGCAGGGCATGTGTGTATTTCTTGCAGGGCATAAATTACGGCACATGTTGAATGTTGTGCGTCCATGTGCTGCGCGAACAACCACCAACGGATGGGCTGCTGCACGGTAACATTCAGCGATACTGCGACAAAATTAACAAATGAGCCTGACAAACGCCCGATGACTCCGCGATGCAAGTCCACGGAAAAGGCTGTCGGTCGTTTGCATGCCAAACAGTTTGTGCACTCTCAGCTTTTATTGAATTCCATTACAGTATCATGTCAGTCAGGCGGACAGCGGAGCAGCGAGCCCTCGTAACGTCATCATAAAAGAGCGACTCCACCAACATCAGCAGCCACATCCCCGTCCTCAGCGAAGGACCTCAACGTCATAGCTGCTGAAAATAATGAAAAAACATTGCAGTAGCCGAGTGCCTGAAATTGACGTTGTCGTCATTAATGGGAAATTGTTTTAGATGTCCTCACCATTAAGATGTCCATCCGGGTGGCCAGCCCAATTGCCATAGTCGTTCCATGTACTCTCCTGAGTACGTGTGTGTGTGCATAAGTGTTGTCAATCATGCTCTATGTGTGCACCTCCACACATACATATAGACAATTGGCAAACATTTTCAGCTGCAGTCGAATCGAGTCAGTCGAGTTTTGCATCTACTCATAGAGATTCGTATACTAAAAGAGACACTGTAAGCCTTATATGGGAGTCTGTCCCCAGATCTGATTATTTATCATCTATCTGAATGATAGATAATCAAATCTTGAGACATTTTAATTGTTACTTACTTATTTCGGTGTTTCTTCCCATTTCCACAATGTCGATAAATATCGATTTTAGCGACTTATAGACTAGCTATTATCTCACATATGTAGAGTTTTAGAGTTTTTGCATTAGACTTGGGTAGCTCATGAGTGAGTGAGCCAAAATGAATGGCTCACTGAACTGAGCCAGTGAACTAGCTCCTTCAATATAGCTCATTTTCGCTCACTAGCTCGTTTTGGCTCACTCGCTCACTTTGGTTCATTTTGCTTGCGATCACTATCGGCTCATGAGCTATCAGCAAGTGAGCCAGTGAGCCAAATGAGTGAGTTGAGTGAGTGAGTGAGCCGGTTCACCTCAATGAGCTGTTTTTACCCAAGTATAGTATGCATATCCATTTATAATCGATTAATATAGATTGCATAATTCTAATATTTATCGACAGTTTAGCGCTGATCCTTTAGTTTACCCTTAAAAAAGGCGATTGAGCATAATACATTTTTTTTTTTTGTAATAAACTGTTAAAGATCATATTATTTAGTTCGGTCTTCTCATTTGCCTAATAGCGATAATGATCGATTTCGATAAGTTAAATACTGACATTTAGTTGGTAATATTAGATATTATTTATTCAATTCTTATCAGTATATCCTGATATGCACTTATCGATCAATATCGACTTCCGCATATCGATATTTATCGATACATTCTGGTTTTCGACTTTAGCTCAACAAGTTTTAATAAGTATTGCTGGAAATAAGAACTATATAAATATCCCGCATGTAGCTATCGATAGTTGAGCACGGTTGATAATCGACTTTTTCTGCCGGCTTGAATTGCCTCGCCTGATTGCCATGCACTTATTTTCCGGTAAAATGTGAAAAATCCAAAATCCTTTTGACTAGCACAGAATTTCGGTGCGTTCATTGTTGGCGCTCAGACAGGGGAGTTAGGCACTTGTAGGAATGCGAGCCTTCCTTTGTTCTCACTGGAACTAGCCCGGCGCACCGATTGGGACTCGCATCTGTTGATGACAGCGACAACTCGGTTAACAAATTTTGCTGCTTTGAATGTTTATGGCCCAACATGCGGGCACAGTAGATTTTTGCTAGCGATTATGTCCGACCGCAAAGCAAAGCCCAAAAGCCGATTCTACTCCGATACAAGTGGAACTGTGCTTCCGGACAGGCATCCGTCACAGAGACCCAGACACAGATGCTTATCGAAATTGGTTTGCCGAGCAGTTGGATTGGGTCTGTGGAGCCGTAAAAGCAATCCCAACCAAGCGCTCCAAGTGGCTTTCTGCATTGTTTTCTAAAAGCAAATTTATATAAGTTAATTTAATTTTTGGAGACCTGAGAGAATCTGAAAACTATGGCAACTAAAACACTTTTTATTGGGAGCACATTAGAAATATTCGAAACATCTTATGAAATGTAAATGCTACTTTCATCAGTAAATAATTATCGATATGCAAAAAACATATATCGATTAGAAATACTAGTCGATAGAAGATTGAAGATGCTAGATATATTTGATAAGCCATAAAAACTTTGACTATGTCCGTAATATCGATAGCAAACACATCAGTTGCTGTGAGCACCATATTTATCGATTGCATATAACTCGAATACACTTTTATATGCAGAGCGATATCATGACGATCGATAACATGCGGAAGAAGAACTTCGATTGCAGTTGAATTGGGATGCTTACAGAGAGTTAGGACAGCAGCTCGACTTGTTGCTTATCGACTGCAATCATCAATCGATAAGACTCCCTTCAAAAGCTCCATGACGATTACAATAATGTAATGCAATTAGGAAATCAGCTAATAATTGAAATCTAAGCGAAGACATAGAAATGCAAATGCTTTATTCAAACTTGGGACGGCAAAGCTGGGTGAAGGAGGGGGCACGAGCTGATGCCAAGAAGGTTGCAACTTAATTTCACCAACTACATGCTAGAGTGGTAGAGTGAGAAAGGGCTAGTGGCTGTTAGAGAGAGAGAGAGAGAGAGAGAGAGAGAGGGAGAGTAAACTGTGAGGCTTCGGCAGTCAATCTGTGATGTGACAGAAACTACGGCAACTGGTTGCTGCCTGAGTTCATTCTCTCTCTCACTCTTTCTCTCTCGGTATCTCGCTCTCTCTAGCATGCAGGGCTTGGAGGGCTCAGCCCGGCCAGACTCAATTAATTTAAGGGATTTTGGCAAAAACTAAAAGCAACATTGCTGCGGTGCAATCCGAACTGGCAACTAGCAACTGGCAACTGGCTTTGGCATTTGGCATTTGGCGGTCTTCTTGCTCAGATTTTCGGCCCTGGCAAAATTTAATTAAACTGCAAAATTTGAGGAGCAGCGAGAAAGAAGGGGGGCGAAACGGGCTTAGCTACCAACTGCAGCCAGAAAGTTGGCATCTAAATATTATTTTACACGACGCTTTAACTGCAACTTTTGCATGCCTCATAATAATCATAATAATGCCGCGAGCAACAACTGTTTCATTAAAAGAAAAATAAAGCAAGTTAAATAGCGCAAAAGCGAGAGAGGCAGAGGGTAAAGAGGAAGCGGGGCAGACTGCGCGGGAGAGGGAGAGGAAGAGAGTGAGAGAGAGCGAGCGGGTGCTCTGTATTCAGATCACATGATGTCCTGTCTGAGGGGGCCGCAGGGAAAGGGTCTCTCGGTCTCGGCGTATGTTGTTTTATGCGTATGATATTTTGCCAAGCAAAAAGTTGTAAGGCAAAGCAGCAAGAGGAAGATGAAGAATATGAAAACGAAGAAGAAAACAGGCCGAAGATGCAGCTGAGGTTAGAAGCGAGTCCAGCTAGAAAATACCCTAGAAGAGGGAGAACAACTGTGGAACAATTGAAGATATATCACAATCATATTAGAGCCATGCTGCACTAGATGTTATCCTACTGTAACTATGGGAATGTAGAAGTCCTTCTGCTCTGTTCATGTCCTTTGGGAATGGTCTTAAATACCACCATGCTCTCCCATAGCTCACTTGAAGGAGCTTAGTCACCGATACCAGATCAAAACTTGATTGTATTCGTATACTTCAAATTCAATTTAACTAGCTTGTATCCAAACTAAAGCTCTGTCTAATGCTGACTCAATGATATAGTAGATTCCTACAGAAGGCTTATATTCCCGAGAGCATCCCGTGCATCTCAGCTTAGTGAATGTTACATATGAATAGTTGATATGAAAATACCCATAGCTAGGGCATTGAGAAGGATAATTTCTTTCGTAGTCCCCCTTTAATCTTGATGCTCCTATTGTTGTTGCTGTTGTTGTTGTTGTTGTTGCTGGCAGCGCTTTTGGCGTGGGAAGCAAGGACTTGCTCTTTTAGTTAAATGTTTGAAAAGAAAAATTAAAAACTTTTTACAACAGCATGCGCGAGCTGCTGCCGCTGCTGCTGCTGCCGCTGCTTCATCTTCATAATATGCTGCCTGATGTGGGATTGAGTGGAGGGTGGGAGGGGCGGTAGGAAGTGGGGTGTGTTGCAAGTGCAAGTGAAAGAAGTTAAACGGCCAAAGCAGCCCAAAGACAACTCACACACACACACACACACGCGCAGAGTGAGGGAGGTGGTGTGTGAGAGGGAGAGGGAGACACACGTTCCACATGCGACTTAATCTTAACACACAGCAGCAACAACAACAACAGCAACAATGGAATGA